CCCTGCCTCAGCCTCCTGAGTAGCTGGGATTACAGGCACGTGCCACCATGCCCAGCTGATTTTTTGTATTTTTAGTAGAGACGGGGTTTCACCTTGTTGACCAGGATGGTCTCGATCTCTTGACCTTGTGATCCACCTGCCTCGGCCTCCCAAAGTGCTGGGATTACAGGCGTGAGCCACCGCGCCCGACCCGTAAGTACTGTTCTTAAATGGACATTGGATACAGCTGCTTTTCTTCTGGGCTCCTGCAGATCCATCTCCCAAAATTCTTCCGTGCTGCCTGAAGAGGAAGATGAGCGTTCCTGCAGTGAGTCAGAGACACAGCTCTCTCAGAGACCGTCAGCTCAGCATCTTGGAGAGGTAATTGACATTCCTCTCCTTTTCTTGGGTGTTGTACTCCAGGGACTTTCCTCCTACCTGCATGCCTCATCAGGTCCCTCTGCTCTCATTCACTCATCAAACACCTTTTCAACACCCTCTGAGGCAGCGGCAAAGCTTTCATTAGAATCATGCATTCATCAGTGTATGCTGCCTGTATTATTCGCCAGGCACTGTGCTGTATGCTCAGGATAGTAGTAGCTGGGGAACTACAAAAGTCCCTGCCCTCATAGCATTTATATTTTTGCTGGCTGGGATGGGGGTGGTGGACACAAAAGACAATAAGTAAAAAAATACACGTGTGCCAGATGGTACTGTGGATCAGCATGTTACACAACAGGGAAGGGAGTGTCACGGCTGGAAGTGGGCGTTACCATTCTTAAAAAGTGGTCCAGGAGCCAAGACCAAGGGAAGTGGAAGAAATAGCTATGCTGATATAGGAGGAGAGAGGGCCGTAGGCCAGGGAACAGCAAGTGGAAAGCCCTGGGGTTAATTGGGGGCTGCTGGGAGGCCTGTGTTGAGGAATGGAAGAAGAAGACTGGAATTGTCTACCTTGTGTGTCCCACATAGACCTCAATTAACAAAAGTTTATACACCTCTTTTGTGTAGGGCACTGAGCTAGATAGAGCAGGGCATAGGAAGGTAAAGTGGTCTCTGGCCATGGGTGCTCAGGTCTGGCTGGGACAGGGCACATGCATGGGAATAGCACGTGCCTGGCACGTTGTTGTTGCTCAGTAAGTATTTGTTAAATGACTAAGTAAATTTTATAGAAAAGAATTGTGCCCAAAACAGAGTCAATAAATTTCTGTGTCAGAGATGGATAAGATCAGTGGAAGAGATCAGAACATGTGTTATGGAGGAGTAGCATTTTAGCTGAACCTTGAAGTTTTTTAGACGAGGAGAAAAAGGTGAGAGAAACATCCATGTAGATAGGATGGTGCATGCAAAGGCACAGAGCAGAAATTTGAGGCTCAGAGCAGGCCAGGGACGTGGTGAGCACTTCACTTCCCAAAGGCCCACCTGACTACGGCGTGCACTCTGAACTAGACAGGAGACAGACTAGGCCAGGAAAGGGCACCAGTAGCTGAGGCAAGAGGGACCGCCTGAACTAAGACAAAAGAGGAGTGCCTGGAGGGAAGGGAAGGGATTTTGGAGACACAGTCCAAAGAATTTTGCATCTACCTCAGATGGGTCAGGCTGTGGGCCCGGATGCCTGGCAGGTGGGGGCTGGGATTGGAGGCGGGGGCATGGGAGGAGCAGGAGGCTGGGAGCAAGGTGGTGTTTGTATCAGAAATCAGCTGAGCAGGAGTTAACTATGCTCTCTGTGAAGATACCCTGCAGGCAGGGAGGCGTCTTCTGGCTTTGTATGCTTTTGCCTCAGAAGGAAAGCTGATCGTAATCCTGGGGAAACCTGGGGTGTCCCCATGTCACAGCTGCTGGGTGACCTGTGTCACCTGAGCTGCAGTCTTTGTATGGCTCCAGCAGATGCTGTGCCTTGGGCAGGAGGTGTTGACTGAAGTGTGCGCCTCCCCTGGGAGGCAGTCATTCCAGGCTTGGGCTGAGAAGTGAGGACGGAAGAGAGAAGCTGCGGCCTCTGCATGCCACTCAGTCCCTCCCAGTGTCGCCTTTCCTCCTCATCTCTACCCAGACCTCCGCCCTGATCCCTTCCTCCAGCACAGGTGACTGGCGCTTGCTCCATGTCCTGTTGTGTCCCCCACACCCCCCAGGAATGTGGTGTGACTCCAGAAAGTGAGAATCTCACCTTGTCATCATCTGGAGCTATTGACCAGTCGTCTTGCACAGGGACGCCTCTGTCGTCCACTATTTCCTCCCCAGAAGGTACATGAGGAGCGGGGAGCGGCTGCATGTCCTTGCCCCTTACCCAGCCACAGCATCCTGGTATTTCCTCCGGGAAGGGACATGGGAGTGGCAAGCTAATACCTGGGCAGCATGACAGGTAGGCCCTGGCTTGAGAGGGAAGAGGACTTGCTTTCCTACCATGGGTTAGTGGGCTTGCCTGTAGCTAGGGGGTGTTGGTTCTCTCAGCCCCAGTCCTGCTGTCATGAGGCTTCCTTTAGGATTATGACAGGGAAAAGCAAATGTCTCGTCCCCGAGGCTGAGCTCTGAGCTCTAAAATATGAAGGAGCAGAATACTGGAAAACCTTAAACCTAAAACCACTTTTAGGGAAGGCCACTTCACTCCCTACTGCCTGAGTGTAGGGAGAGGGCTCTGCTCCCTAGAAAGCTTGCAGAAGCCCTGCCTGACTGCTAGGCTCCTTCCTCCATCCCTTGTCTCCAAAGGCCCTGCCAGCACCAGCAGCAGTCTGGCCCAGTCTGTCATGTCCATGGCATCCTCCCAGATCAGCACCGACACCGTCTCCTCCATGTCTGGCTCCTACATCGCCCCTGGCACTGAAGAGGAGGGAGAGGCTCTCCCTTCCCCCCAGGCTGCCAGCAGGGCCCCCTCAGAAGAAGGAGAGGTAAGGGAAAGGACGGGAACCACCCTGGCTTCTCTGTACTTTGCACACATGTCCAAAGTAGCATAACCAAAGATCTGCCATGCATGGCGGCAAAGCCCCCCAAAGTGCCGGGAGTGCGCAGAAAACAGGGCATTCCCTTAGCTCTGACCCTCCTATTTGACACCAATTTTGTACTGAACAAGGTTTGGGTTTGCTGTCAGGAGCTTGATGGGAGACCTGTAAAAACTGTGCTCTTGGCCGGGCGCGGTGGCTCAAGCCTGTAATCCCAGCACTTTGGGAGGCCGAGGCGGGTGGATCACGAGGTCGAGAGATCGAGACCATCCTGGTCAACATGGTGAAACCCCGTCTCTACTAAAAAAATACAAAAAATTAGCTGGGCATGGTGGTGTGTGCCTGTAATCCCAGCTACTCAGGAGGCTGAGGCAGGAGAATTGCCTGAACCCAGGAGGCGGAGGTTGCGGTGAGCCGAGATCGCGCCATTGCACTCCAGCCTGGGTAACATGAGTGAAACTCCATCTCAAAAAACAAACAAACAAACAAAAAAAAAAAAAACTGTGCTCTTCTGCAGGGGCTGCCAGCGGAGTCTCCAGACAGCAGCTTTGCTGGCCTCCCAGCTGGAGAGCAGGATGCAGAGGTAACCCCAGCAGCACGAAGTGTGCTCCTTCCCACAGCTAGAGGAGTGCTGGCCTTGGCTGGGGATGTCAGTAAGGACCAGGGCCAGGAGGCCGTGCTGACAAAGCCTTCCTGGGGACATGCCTATATCAGTCACAAGTGGAATGTGGATAGAGATGAGAGCAGCCGCACCGGGGTCTGTGGACTGTCCAGTGAGTGGGGCCACTGGTTCTCAGGGTCACTGGTGTGGAATGAGTTCAAGAAAGAACTTTTCTTGCCAGCCCCTGGCCTTGAGAATGTATTGTCCTTCATTCCACTAGTATCTACATGGGGGACTGTATCCCAGGTGCTCACTGGCACTGGGGCACATACAGACCTATACAGAACTGTGTGGTGAGGTTTCTCATGGGCCTACCCCCAGCCCACTGGACCTATCTTGGAGCCCTGTCCAGCAGGCAGACAGGACCACAGTTCAGTGTGAGATGTGCCCTGACCGTGGTGTGCTGTGGAACGCCGGCTCACAGTGAGAGATCTAGAACTCTTCTTAAGCCAGCTACTCTCAGTGGAGTACAGTATCTGGATAGGGTGTGGGATCTTAAGAGATTTCTTAAAGTTTTATGATCTCACAATTTGCTCTTTCATTTAGTAACCTTTACTTCCACGTTAGAGAAACAGTATCAGCTAAGCTATTAACAAGGGTGTTCCTGACAGACTATTCTGAGCCTATATGGGTAATGTGGCTCGGATCTAATCCCTAAAGGCAGACGGTGCCTCACCAAGCAAGATCTGCCTCTAGTCAGCCTCTCAGGCATATTAAACACGGATGAAAATATATGCTAGTAATGTAGGCCCTGGAGTTAGATGCCGTTAAGATGATTAGTTCTGTCGTCAGCCAATCAGTCGACTCATTTTCCTGCTTTATAGACTCACAAGGCCTTCCTTCTATCCTAGGGAAATGATGTTACAGAGGAAGAGGATGGATCACCCACGCAGGAGGATGGTAAAAGATCTGGTCCTTTATTTCCTTTTATTATCTTTCCTTCCTGGATATTCTTTAAGGGATAAAGAAGAGGGTACCAGTATGACTTGGTGGCACTGTTCAGTTGCATGGCTGTTAGAGGAACGACTGTCTTCTTAATGGTATATCAAAGCAAGCAGGGCACTGATGACCTCCATGACCTCCTCAGCTCTTTCTGGGCCTCAGAGCCAAGGATGTCAGGTGCGGGTGGGGCAAGAGATACGTGCAGGTACATATTTACCTCAAGTAGATTTGGAAGCGCTCTGAGCAGCCCCCATCGCTGGCCTCTCTGCTGCAGGTTTTCAGTGGAGCCCCACAGAGCTGCTCTGGCAGACTCAGTGTTGAACAGCAGTAGCCATTTCTTCCACTGGGGGGAAGGGGAGGACACTTGGCAGTTGGTCAGGTCTTGCTTTAGCTAGGAAAATGGCGGACGTTATTGTAAAAGAGGACTCCCAGGAGCCAGCAGACACATTAAAGGCATGGTCAAGGAAACAGGTCCAAGTTTCTTCAGCAGCTCAGCTTAGGCAAGCATTTTAAAGGCTGTTGTAATGATTTTCCCGCACTGTAATTCAGGCTTCAGTTACATCTTCAGTTGGAAGAATATTGTTTCTAGTAAGGCTAAAAGAGAAGGAATGACCCACCGAGCAAGCACATAGGAGGAAGAAGGGAGGTGGGAAAGTTTCCCCTGAGCAGGGAACACCACGTGTTCCATGAGCCAGACTCTTCCCCCTGCTGCTCTGAAGCACCTCCCGCAGGAGCACCTCCAGAGCACACGTGTGCCCCGGCCTGGATGCAGACGCACCAGCAGACGTCATCCTGTTGCTTCTGCTTCAGCGCTGGCCATCGCTTGGGGAGTGTTGAAGGTGTGCATGTGGACCTGACAGCTCCTGCCTGGCCAAGGAGCCTGAAGGAGAAGGTGGACGCCAAGGCTGCCTCTGTCAGCTCTTACACCCCAGCCCAAGGAGATTTGGAGAGTCATCAACTCAGCTGATGACTTCAGCGCTCGAGGCTCTAGAGTTACCCCTTGTGATGGTTTCTCTTATAGAATATCTGCTTCTAAGAAGTGCAGTACGGCCAGGTTGTTTCACCTGACATTCTGTAGCCCATGGAATGGATTTGTTTTCTTCTCTCTGTTTCACAGAGAAAAAAAGAGGGGAATTTGATTTAAAAAAAAAAAACAACACCTTTTAAAACCTTTCCCTTCCCTTCTTACATGTCTGTAGATTTCTGGTTAGTCACTTAAAACACACTGAAAATAACAACTCAGGTCTCATACAAAAGGAAATCATAATTTTGTGAATGTAGTCATTCTGATTTGATCTGCAAAATTATGGACCCGAAGACCTTTAGTTGTTGTTTCATGTACTTATTTTGCAGAGCCCTGTGGCCATAAACACACCCAGCTCGCATCCGAGGCAGACAGGCATGAGCAGGATGACCTCCCCACTGGCCCTCCCTAGCTTCTGCCGGGCGGTCGCAGCCTCACGGCCTGGCCTCTGCCCAGCTCTGCTCGCTCCAGCGTTCTCTGTCGAGCCTGTGTGCCACAGCCCTCCTCAGCAATCCGACTTGTTAGGGAATAGCAGGTGGAACGGGCTCTAGGGAAGCAGCAGAATAGTGCAAGAACACAGACATGCCCATGCAACGTGACTCCTTTCTTGTCCACTCTTTACCCACTTAATTACTGTCTTTTTTTAACATATGATTTGATTTGTTTTTTGTCTCCATCCTTAAGATTTTTATTTTAAGGACAGCAAAGCAGAGAAAAACACAGCCAGCCCCTCTCTAACTGCATTAACTCCGTTACAGGCCAGAGGACATGCGCATTTCTAGGTATGGAGTGTGACAATAACAATGACTTTGACATCTCAAGCGTGAAAGCACTGGACAATAAGCTGTGCTCTGAGGTCTGCTTACCTGGTGAGTGGCAGTCTGCTGAACATGAACTTGGTGGGAGACGATCCCTGTGCTCGTACCCCTGCTCTCACCCTGGTACACCCATCTCCTGCCCTGCAGTTCCTGGCAAGAAGGCCTGGGGCGTGCTAGTGCTGGAGAACAGTTGCTGAAAGGAAGTAAGAAGGCCTGGGAGAGTCCCTGAGCTTTTTGCAATGAGCCATCCTTGCTCTGAGTGAGAATATTAGGATAGGAAGAAAGAAGCAAAATATATGATTTGGCCTAAACACTCTCCACTCCATCTCATGGCCTTGCAGGTATCATATCAGGTGGCCTGGTCTTGTTTTCATTGACAGGAAGTTTGAGCAGACAGATACCACCTCTCTATGAAGGCCTTGGAAGGATTGCCTGAGCCCTTTTAAAGTGAAGCCGTAGCTCCTCAGAAGAAATGTGTTTCAGCTAGGATCAGAGAAGAAACTAAAAGCAAGCATTTTAAAGGCTAAGGAATGATTCTAATTGATCCAGTGAGCCAGTGAGCTTTGGGTTACCAGTTGCATTGTACATACTGGATTCAGATCCAAAGGAGAGGTTAAGTTAGGGCTTCACTATGCTCCCTGGAGCTGCAGCTTCACAGGTGATCAGGTGGTCAGTGTGCCCTTATTCCTCTTCATGATACTAAACCGAATCTAGGTAGTGTCTTACACAGAATAATGTTCATCATACTTTGCACACCGACTACCCTTTTAGTTAATGTGCCCATTCAAGGGCTGCAAAAACTGCTTTTCTAAAATCCACATCTTGCCCAAGTGACCTCAGTCAAATGTCCCCTCCGGGTTTCACAACACAGATTGTCCTTCACATGGTGGTGTTTGAATCCTGTTAAACATTCCCTGAACGAAGACTCACTTCAGCTTCAGAACAGCCACATCACGGGTCCAGTGCTTTACTCGCTTAGCGACGTGGCTGGAGGCGTTGGAGCCACACGACCTCTGTGGTTGCCACTCTCCATCAGCCTGTGCAAAGCACAGTCCCAGCACGCTCTGGCCCCACACAAGCTTGTGGCAGGGGAAGCTGGAATTCTCTAGAGACACTTTCTCCAGCCTTTCAAAGGACTTTCTTGAGTCATTTTCCATTTAGTTTGTCCTAAAGACACTGCCCAGGCCTCTTCATATTAAGTGAGACCGAAAGAGGCAGTATTGGTCCCCCTGCTCCTGCACAGGCCCAGGGAAGACCCCCTTCCTGCCTGAGCGTAGAGGAGGGATCGTTGACCGTGGGGCCAGCCTCCTGCCAGTTTGGCCTGGACTGGAGCTGCTGGGGCCCAGGGGCTGCATCACTCCCTGCCGTCCCGCTCCTGGCCTGGCTTCCATCTGTCCATTTGTGTTTCACATCATGCTGTCAAATGTAAATTTGTCTGTCTGCTTTGTTTATTTTCCAAACTCATGTATGTTCTCTAGACTTGGTATGAAAGTTCATGTTCACTCCGTGCCAGCACTGTCCTCCCTGCCAATGCTTCACCCCATCCAAGCTTGCTGGCCACGCACACACCTGGGAGGCGCTCGCTCGGGGCTGTGAGCAAGGTTCCCATTCCTAATTGGCGAGGGCCTGTATTCAGTGTACTAAGATCTTCCAAGAAAAAATATTTGTGAGACTGTATTAATTTCTGTTCTATGAAAATGGGAATGCCTCTGTGGCCAGGGCTATGGAAAGGATTTGGTTTTGATTGGCATCCTCCGTCCGTAATTGGGTGAAGATGACGTCTCTGCCTTAGCTCTGCCCTGTGTCTGAGGCAGCTCTATCCTGGTCATCCCCTTACTGGGCTTTAGGAGGGAAATTTAGCTTCCTGCCTCTCTCAAGGGGCTCCCTTACCCACCCCTATTTTTTTGGCAGAGGGAGCTGCTGGGAGTTGTTTTAGCCAACAGTGCTGGTGGAAACTCAGTGTATTCCTCTGCTCCCTCCTCTTCCTGACTCCCCTCGGCTGACCTGCTTGGTGATAGTTACTCCACTTACAGGATTGCGGGAGGAGAGCAAGGACGGGGAGGAAGAGAGCAGCTCTGGGGTTCCTTAGGGTGACTTGTGGAGGCAGCTGTTTAGAGACTATGGTGGGTTCACAGTTTGGGCCAAATATGAAATCAAATGCCTATGATGGTTCTCGGAAGAGGGCCTTGGGTACAGCACTGTAAATGTCCCATTATATCCTCACTAGGGGCCTCAAGATGAGGGACTGTATTCAATATACTAAGATTTTCTAAGAAAGAAAAAAAAATGTGTGAGACTATTAATTTCTGTTCAACAAAAATGGGAATGCTTCTGTGGCAAAGACTATGAAAAGGATTGGTTTTGTTTGTTTTTTTTTTGTTTTGTTTTTTTTGAGATGGAGTCTCACTCTGTCACCCAGGTGGAGTACAGTGGTGTAATCTCGGCTCACTGCCACCTCCGCCTCCTGGGTTCAAGCGATTATCCTGCCTCTGCCTCCTGAGAAGCTGGGATTACAGATGTGTGCCACCATGCCCGTCTAATTTTGATATTTTTAATAGAGACGGGGTTTCACCATGTTGGTCAAGGTAGTCTCAAACTCCTGACCTCATGATCTGCCCGCCTTGGCCTCCTAAAGTGCTGGGATTATAGGCATGAGCTATCATGCCCAGCCAGGATTTGTTTTTAATTGGCATCCTCAGTCAGTAGTTGGGTGACAGTGATATCTCAGAACCTCTGGTTCCCCTTTTACTTGAGAGGGAAAAACACATCTCTCTAGGCAAAATGTGTCTCTGGTTCTGCTGGTAGCATCACTGGTAGCAACAGTGCTGGAGAGCTCTCTGGAAGTATCTGGTAGGTTACAGACAGGAATAACTACTTTGGTAGGTCCCATGGAATAAATAGACCTCTTCAACACTCAGCTGTAAGTTCAGCTTTCTATCCCAGGGCCGAGATACCACTGGCTGTCGTAGTGCCTCACTGCCCTGCAGCCAGCTCTCTCCCTGTCAGGACAGCTGCATGTGTGCCTGGACTCTGCTTGAGTGTGTTTCCCTCTTCAAGCAGGTACCACTCCCTTCATGGAGGGCCAGTGGGAAATAGAGCCCAGGGTGGCTCCCATGCTCTCCCCGTGCCCTGCACCCTGCTCACAGCCTCTGCCAGGAGACCCAGCCGGTGGCAAGGACTGAGAACCTTGCTGGTTCCCATCCTTACCACTCTGGTCACACTGGTGAGGGGCTTAGAGGCACTTTTGTCATTCCAGCCCCTCTCTCCCTAAGAAGCTTCTGGGTCTTCCTGGGCCCCAAGACCAAGGGTGGATTTTTGGTTTTTCACTGGGGAGTGGTGTGTTCTGAGATTGCTTCTGAAAGGAGTAAAGGGGAAGATCTCAGTTGACGGGTGTGACAGGTGATACTAAGACTAGAGCTGCAAGACCACACTAAGTAGATGTGGCTCCACGGAGTTTGGTGGACTGTGACACAGGTGGCAGGATAGTCATCGCGGCAAGTGATAGCTCTGTGAAGGCTCTGGGGTAGTCAGTGATGGAAAAAAGGCAAAGATAGGCCAGGCGCAGTGGCTCACACCTATAATCCCAGCACTTTGGGAGGCCGAGGTGGGTGATCACATGAGCCCAGGAGCTGGAGACCAGCCTGGGCAACACAGTGAAACCCTGTCTCTATAGAAAACACAAAAATTAGCCAGGCTTGATGGCGTACACCTGTAGTCCCAGCTACTCAAGAGGCTGAGGTGGGAGGATCGATTGAGCCTGGGAAGCGGAGGTTGCGGTGAGTCAAGATCACACCGCTGCACTCCAGCCTGGGAGACAGAGTGAGACTGTCTTCAAAAAAAAAAAAAAAAGGCAAAGATAATTTTGGTCTTTTTAGTGGAGATACAAATATAATTTTTAAATGATTGCATTGCGGGGAATGAGCATATCCAGTGAAATCTAGAAAGGCTTATGGAGACCAAATTAAATTCTCTCTTCATTTTGAGAAGCCTCAGAACCCGAAACTAAAATGCTACTAGGAAAGTTTGCACTTTGTGGGCACTAAGGAAAAATTCAAACCAAGCTTCTCCTTCCCCTGGAGAGAAACTCTACAAAGACCATTGAGCTGTTACAGTCCTTACATTTAATTAGTGGCTTGGTAGAAGCAGGAAAGGGGCTTGTGAAATTTTCCTAAATGTGCTCCCAAAATCTACCTCTAGAGGTCTCTTCATACTCCCATTTCTGACTCCCCAAAATGAGAAGTGAATAGAAAGCACCTTTATCCGTTTCCCTCTAAGGATTTTAAATCTCCACACTCCATTTTCTGGCTGGAGGGGCCTGGGTTCAGCCGGACAAAATGGCGACACCTGCTCTGGAAGGCCCCTCAGCACCCAGACTGGCCTTCCACAGCCGGGCTCGTCGTGGGAATGAGGCCGAGGAGAGAGCAGCAGCAGGGCTTTGCCATGGGCCCCTCAGGGTCCTGGCCAGTGGGAAGTCACCCCCTCTTGCTGCTGAATCTCCCTCACCGCAGAGCATACCGAGAGGCCGGGAGAGACTTCAGATCTGATTCTTGAGTTTTCCATAAGTAACCGATGCTCTGCCCTGGCTTATGCTTCTAGATTAGAAGGGTGGCGTTTGTTGCAAGGACTCCTGTGAATTCAGAGTCAGGGCCGCTCTCTGGGCAGCCCCTCAGGCCCAGCGTTTTATGGCTTGCTGGTGGCGGCGGTGGTGGCAGCGGCGGTGGCGGTGGCGGCGGTGACGGTGCTGTTGTTTTTATTTGTGCATGCATGTGTGTCTTCTCTCTTGTTTACCATTTGCTTTTGGTCTTTCCTACTGAACAGCCGCAGCTCCGGAGTCCTGCCCCATAAACATTGAGGAATAGGTATGAGATCTACCAAATTATATCAATGAACAAACAGCTCATTTTATTTTGGGTTTCTCACTTTAAAGGCAATATTAACAGCCTTATATTCATCCTGCCACATTTAGACACACAGTGCCACCACTAGGGGTGAAAAAACACCTTGACTAATAATGTCCCAGGCTCCAGTACACACCCCCAGGGAGTCAAGATCCCAAATTCAGTTTGGATGTGAGAAGATCCAAGACTCTCCAGTTCTCACTCTTCCCCTGGGGTCTAGCACCAGAGACTGTTGTTAGAGCCTGAGGGTGATTAGCAGGCCAAGGCATTGACGGGAAGTAAGCCATTTATACCTGCTGATTCCACGTGGGTTAAAGCGCTTCATGTCCTGGGCTGGCCTGAGGCTGACTCAGAACACTTGGGAGTGGCCTCTCTCAACCTCACGGCCACACTCTACAGTTGGTCGGCCTTGTCCCCTGAACAGGTCCTCCTATGGGTCAGGTGTGGGCTCTGGACCACAGCAGTGGAAAAGTCATGGCCTCTGCCCATGGAGGAGCTCTAGGACTCAGCGGTTTCCGCCATGTGAGGTGTGCGTGGAGCCGTAGTTCAGGCTGCAGGGAGCACTTCGGAGCACAATGGCTCTCCCGGCCAGAGATGCCTCGTGAGGGGAGGGAACTGGGAGACGTGTCTTGGGAGGCCCATAGGGTCCTGAGGACGACATGCCTTCCCTACCCCAGGATGCCAGGGGGCCCTGAGAGCAGAGGCGGCCAAGGCCCAAGGCAGGAGCGTTCTAGCCTCCCTGGAGGGAGGGCACTGGAGGGAGCCAGCTCATCTGTGGGCGGGAGATGAAGAGGACACCCAGGGAAAAGGTGAGGTGGCCTGCAGGAGCGTGAGCACAGGCTGTTTTAGGAGTCGGATTCTCTCACCAGCACTTGCATTCTCTAGTCCTCACAGCAAGCCTGTGAGGTCAGTACTCATCTCCCATCTGATAGATGAGAAAACCAAGGCCCACAGTAAATTGATGTGCCCAAGATCACACCGTTGTAAACTGGAAGTGGAGCCCAGTTAGTGTGAGTACAGATGGCATCACAACACGGCTAGAAGTGAGCCCGTAGGAGCTTGTGGAGGATTGGATGTGGAGCACAAAGGAAAGAAAAGCACCAAGAATGGGTTTCCAGACGGGCGCTGGCACTCCTCACATGGGGGCAGCGGCAGATTTAGGAGAGAGGATGCGTTCAGTGGTGGTACCTGTGGGACCCGAGGCTCTCAGGCTGGTGTCTGCTGGGCTGATGGCACCACCTAGTAGCAATCCTCAACAGCTGCGCAGGTGCAGGAGGAGGAAAATGGCAGGTGAGGGGGGCTGGGGCCTCACACTGTCCTCCCTCCATGTGGCCTTCCGTCCCAGGAACCCTGCTGGGTGGCCAGTCCTTTCCTGCTCCACCTTGGCCCCTGCAGAAAACATTAACACTTTGGACCAGAACGAACATAGTCTTCTCACTTCCCCCCACCTCTTCCTGTCCCGATGAAAATAGCTCAGCGAGGCCCAATTTCCCTTTCCTGTCTATCGTAACATAGGCAAACTTTCAAACCATGAACTTAAAATACCAAAGTGGGGGAGCCGCGGTGGCTCTGGCCAGTTGTCCTGGCGCTTGAGGAGGCGAGGCTATGCATTCAAGGCCAACCTGGGCAAAATAAGAACCTCTCATTCATTAAAATACTAAAGTGGATCCTAGGGTAAGTTCACAAAACAAGGAGTATCCTCCCTGTCCGGGAGCCACAGTGGCAGTGACTGTACCTAGCCCAGGGGGCAGGAGCAGCCCCTGCACCTGTCTGCACCTGCTTCTCTCTGTTCTCGAGCACATGTGCTGTGGCTCGCGCCCTTGCAGGGGTCTTAGGTGACACTCGTCCTGCTCCTTCCATGCTGACTCCTGGGCTGCCCTGCTGGAGACACCATCTGGACCTGGCCAAAGCTTTGGCCCCTGTAATGTTCATTTTCTCTTCCCCAGGTACCTGGCAGGCTGATGACAATGCCGTCAGTCGATGTAATGCCCAGCGCCGGCGCTTGTCATCCAGCAGCCTGGAGGACTCTGAGACGAGGCCTTGCGTGTGGGGCCCTTTGGCTGTCTGAGTCCCGGCCCCTGCACGTGGGCTTCCCTCCTGCCCCTGCATTCCATCCATCCTCACTCGGCTGCTGCCTCCTGGGCATCCTCAGCAAGAGGCTGGACTTTTCACCCTCCTGTGACAGCTCATACAACCTGTAACCACAATCCCTCACCTCTAAGAGGAGACTGGAGCCCTCCTTTCTCCCTGTGGCCTAAAGCCACTCAATGAACTGCAGCTCATGAGACCCTTTGCAGGGACTCTGGAATGTCCCCATGGTATCTTGACGTTCAGATGGAGCTGGGGTCCATGGGCTAGTTGTTTCTTACGCATCTTTTTTCTCCTTAGGGGGGTAGAACAAGAAGGCTTAGAGTTTTGGCAGCTTTGTTATAAACATCCCTCTGGCATTTCCTGGTCTCTGGCACACCGTAAGCAATTGAAAACCTGAAGTTTGGGGTGGGGCTGGAGGACGGCTCCTGTGGAAAGGAGAGCCATACTGCACGCATGTGGCCTTTCCCTCCACAGGCACTAGGAGTGCCTTTCTCGAGGACAAGAAATGGTAGCAGCCAAAAGTTGATTGAAAGAAACAGTCCTTCCTCTGGGAGCAGAGCCAGTCTCCCGGGCCTGCTTACGAAGGAGGCCTTGAATCTGAGAATCTCCCAGTTAAGGTGATTTCTCTTAAGGAGCATTTCTCCTGATCAGGTGCATTCAGGGAGGCCTAGGACTCCATCCTAAGGTGACATTTCAAGAAACACATGTTGACCTCTCTATGTGCCAAGTACTGGCTGAGGAATGGTCACATATTATATTGTAATTCATCCTCACTCACCCAGGAGGTGGCATTCTTGTCCCTGTTGCCCCCATCTCTATCCCCTTTTGTTAATGGTGGAGGAGAAATAGGGACCAGTGATTCTCAGTTTGGTGCCCAGGTCCCCACAGGAGGTGGTGGAGAGGCTTGAGCGAAGTTCAGGCAGCAGCATGCAGCCAGCGGCAGTGAGCCGGGAGCAGAGGCTGGAGTCAGGGCTCAGGGCCGTCACTCAGGGGCCCCGTCCATCTTCCACATGTTCCTCCCTTGCCTTCCAGAGCTGCTGAGCCTAATTAGTAAAGGGGGAGATGCGGCCAGTCACATGCTGATTGGCAGTTCAAAGATCATGTTCTGTTCATGTGCCCTCCCCGCCCCAGCCCAGTGCAAGGGCACAAATACAAGAGCCAAAACAGCACGTCTGGACTATGAGGTGGTAGCTGCCCCTCTTCCTCAGCACTTGCATCCCAGTGAATTCCATGTGGCTCTTACATGTGTTGTCTACTGGCCTTTGGAAAGAAGGTTCTTTAGTAGGGCATGAGAGTATTTGGAAAGCAAAGCTAGAAACCAACTATTATTTGTGAGGTTGAGATGTGGGAGAGCCTTATAGGCTATGCCCATTGTGGAGGACTTGTCTTAGGGTTTGGAATTGTTACCCTAAAAATCTTTTCAAGGCTGTTTCCGAGCCCGATAGCCTCAAAAAGAGCCTGGTGCCCAGGAGGTCCTTTGCTCCTGTGTGGCTGCAGAGGCCAGGAGTGTGGTGACTGTCACACTGCCTAGTGGTTGTGGCTCACATCCTGCCCTGATGAAGGGGAGCCTGTTGTCCACCCTCTCTGAAGTACTACAGTAGACTCCGCCATTTCAGGCCCCACCTAATGTCCTTTCCTTCCCCCAATATTCTTCCAGCCCCTTTCATAGTTAAGATGCATAAGCTCGCCGGGTGCAGTGGCTCACGCCTGTAATCCCAGCACTTTGGGAGACTGAGGCGGGTGGATCACGAGGTCAAGAGATCGAGACCATCCTGGTCAACATGGTGAAACCCCGACTCCACTAAAAATACAAAAAATTAGCTGGGCATGGTGGCACATGCCTGTAATCCCAGCTGCTCAGGAGGCTGAGGCAGGAGAATTGCCTGAACTCAGGAGGCGGAGGTTGCGGTGAGCCGAGATCGCGCCATTGCACTCCAGCCTGGGTAACGAGTGAAACTCTGTCTCAAAAAGATGCATAAGCTGAGCAATAACCCCACTTCCTGATTTCCCTGAAACATGAGCCCAGAAGCAGCAGGGATAGTGGTGGCACACAGACCACCTCCTGTCCTGTCCCCTGCAGGTAGTATTAACAGTGTGGTGTTAACCTGGGAGGAGAGAGGAAACAGCTGAGATGAAGGAGATTCAGGTAAACAGTAGCCGCAGTGGCCAGGACCCCCTTCCTGGAGGTGTCCTTCCTCGCAGCAAGTGCTCAGTCCTCTCCTAGGGAGAGGCGCAGAAAGATTCCTCAAGGCCTCAGTCCCACGTCCCATTTCCACCTAGGTTGGAAATGTCCTTTGTTTCTCAGTTCCAATTTCTCCTCTTCCACCCCCACCTTCTCTTAGCTGTCATTTAGCTGTCTGGCCGGCAGAAATACACTATCCAAGGAGTTAGTCCTCAGTCAGCCTGATTAGGACAGGTCAGTGGTCAACCCATTTGCCCCAGTCCTTCATCTGGAGACAGTCACATAGTCACTTCCACGGTTCACCCACAGAGAAGACGTGGGGCCTGGCTTCTCCCACAGGGCACAGCCTAACTCTGGAGACTCAGGGCTCTTTCCTGCTGCACTAGGCCTGTGCTCTCCCTATGGCCTTCAGGTGGTGTGATCCCAGCTTCCTCACGGAGCCCTGTTCTGCCCAGTTCCATCCCACCAGAGTTTCCACCCCCACTGAGGCATCTCTTGGACACAGACCCCCACACTCTAATGCATCTCACTTGGGGAGTTAGGATCCTGCCCACCTGGGGCTGGCACGCTGGTTGCTCACTTTGCTTTGGTCTGCACACCTGGTGTGTGCGTGTGTATACTGCTTGTGCCATCTGTGTACCCCTCTCCCTGGGGTACACTTATGGACACACTACAGTGGGGACAGCAAGAATGCAATATTTATGGATTGCTGCATGATTCTTAAAAATGAATAAAACTGTTTACAAGGGAAGGAGAACTAACTAACTGCAAAGTGAGCTTATCTGTAAGTTTCTCTTTCTCCAGTACTCTAATATTTTTACTCAAGAGGATCTGGAGTTGGAGGAGTGGGAGAGGCAAGGGCTAGGGAAAGGCATGTTGGTGGGGGAGAGATGCACCATTGCCGGGCCTTCTTCGTGGCCTGGGCACCAGCCTTCCTGGCTCCAGCTCTCTAGCTCCTGGGCAGAGGCTGGGTAAGCAACCCAGCCCCCACCACTGCCTCTGCAGCCGCCTTAAACCGGAGAACTTCCAACCCTGCAGCTCCTCAATAATTAAAGAGCAGGAAAGCTGGTGACAGGATGGAGGCCAGGGGAAGGGAGGAAGAAGGGCCACAGTCCCTAGAGTCCCTCTACCCTTAATCCCTGTCACTTAAAGGTTGGTAAAATTAATTGGCGAAAAGGCCCTGCTAGAAGAATTTGACAAGTCCATGACTTGGGCTCTGCCCCATCAGCTGTCTCCAAAAGAGTGAGTGCACTTCTGCAGAGGCCTCTAGAATGTCAGCTTCCTGGAACCTTGAGGATAGGGGTGGGGACGGGGCTGCCTACCGGGACACACCGGATTCCCCTACCGCCTGGTGTGTCTGCCGCCTCTATGGATGTAAGCGGCAGGTGGCATCGGAGAGTCAGACCTGCCTGGGGCACCAGAGAGAGATACTAAGGGTCGGGGGAGAGGGAAAGGCCGCAGAAATTTGAGAAAGTGCCACTCGCAGCGGAGAGGAAAGAAAACCTCAAGGATACGGTTCCTAAGCCTAAGCCCGCTCCCAGCCTCAGCCCCCCAACCCGAGGCTCTGTCCCAGAAGCAGTCAATGCCTCAGAGCCACCCGGACTGGAAGCGAGTGAGGGCAGGAGTCGTGGTTCCCCAGGACGAACGGATCCATAGTGGTTCCGGGGGCCGCGGGCCGCGCGCTTCTCCGACCCCAGCGGGCGGGAAAGAGCCGAGACGGGACGCGGCGGCGGGTAGGGGGTTGGGTGGCGCGGGAGAGGGCGGCAGAAGGAGGGAGTTCGAAGAGAGTTGCCGCCAGAGAGAGTGGCAAGTGCCCGCGGTATCCTTGGAGACGTGCTGGCCAATGGCAGCGGCGGAAGCTGTTTATGGGGGCGGAGCGTCGCCATGGCAGCAGGAGAAGCCTTTGGAGCGGCTACTTATTGCCGGTCCCAGGGCCGCGGTCGCTCAGAGAAGCGCCGTCGGGCGGGGGGGCAGCGAGAGGCGCTGGCAGGGCCCTCGAGCTGGGGGCAGAGAGCCGCAGGGGGTGGGAGGAACTTCTTCCAGAACCTTCCTCTGGCCCGGGCTGCGCTCTGAGCCAGGTAAGGGACGAGGAGGGCTACAGGCCCTGGGGAAGGGTGGGCGACGGTACCAGCCCGCTCTCTCGTTCGTCCTTGACGGAAGTGGTGGGCCCAGGGACTGACATCGGAGGAGTTTGTGGGAAACTCGCCTCCTGCCCCCCATAACTGTTCCGTCCCCTTCCTTCCCGACGACTCCCTATCATAATATTCCTTTTCAAGGATCAGAGGACCTCCTCCGCCCCTGCCCCGTCGTACTGCCCTCCCAGACTTGTCGCCCCATTTCCATTTGTTGAGGGAAGGGGGTCCTGATTTCCTGCTCTTCGGGAGAAAAGGATAGCCTCGGATGCCCCTACCCTCTTACTTTATTTGGCTAATAAAACCTCGAAGAGGAAAGGAGGAGGGAGGCGGTTCTGGTGGGGGGTGGGACTCTAGGGCCTTGCTTCTGTTTCCCAGACCTCGGCACTAAAAGATCCTCCCCAGCTGCGGGAATGATGTTAGGGGAGGCGCCCCCTGTACGGGGCGTGGGGTGGTGCTCAGCTCCCGCCGTGGTCCTCGCAGGCACCACACACGTATTCGGAGGAGGCGCCCCCGGGGTCGCGAGATGGAAGCGCGCGTCCGGGAGGCCGTGTAACGGGAGCTGCGGGAGTCAGCGGGCCGGAGAGCGCGGCGGGCCACCCCCGGCTCAGCCCGTGGATGCTGACCGCCCCCTCGGAGAGTCCCCGCAGACATGGCGGAGAGCTGGCTGCGCCTCTCGGGAGCCGGGCCGGCGGAGGAGGCCGGGCCGGAGGGCGGCCTGGAGGAGCCCGACGCCCTGGATGACAGCCTGACCAGCCTTCAGTGGCTGCAGGAATTCTCCATTCTCAACGCCAAGGCCCCCGCCCTGCCCCCGGGGGGCACCGACCCCCACGGCTACCACCAGGTGCCAGGCTCAGCGGCGCCCGGGTCTCCCCTGGCGGCCGACCCCGCCTGCCTGGGGCAGCCGCACACGCCGGGCAAGCCCACATCGTCGTGCACATCGCGGAGCGCGCCCCCGGGGCTGCAGGCCCCGCCCCCCGACGACGTGGACTACGCCACCAACCCGCACGTGAAGCCTCCCTACTCGTACGCCACGCTCATCTGCATGGCCATGCAGGCCAGCAAGGCCACCAAGATCACCCTGTCGGCCATCTACAAGTGGATCACGGACAACTTCTGCTACTTTCGCCATGCAGATCCCACCTGGCAGGTAGAGGAGGCACGGGCGGTGGCCGCTCCCTCCCCATTCCCTCCTGGCTCCCCACACCGCACTGGATTCACATCCCAGATCTGCAGGCCAAGTAGGCTCCGTGCGGCCAGGGCCCCAGAAGGGAGGACTGCAAAGACGCCCAGCTCTTGCAACTGCCCCTCCTTTGACTTCCAGAGAGGGAGAAGGGAGAATGTCCAGAGGTGGAGGGCTTTAGGGGTGCAAAGGCTGAGATTCAAGGGAAAGGAACCTGCCATTCATCCAGCAGGCCCAGGCCAAAGACCAGGGCTAGACTCTGCGTGGACAGAGTCTCCTTGGGGAGAGCAGTGAACTGAAGGCACATTCTTGTCCCAAGTCCTAGAATTCCTAGACACTGCCCTGCCCGGGATGGTTTGTCGGGCTGGGAGTCAGAAACCGAAACTGGAACATGGCCTCCCTGCCAGGCTCTATGTCCTGCCCTTTTGCAGTTGGCTTGGGGAGGGTGGGATGGAAGGTGTGCTGTGGCATGTGAGGGCCAGCTTTGTCCCAGTGGAGGGGGTAGGGGACCTTCCTAAAGCGCTGTCCTAGCCCCCTACCTCAACCTCTGCTTAGTTTCCTCCCTTCAACCCCCCCACCTCAGCCAACCTCCCTGGGGGGACAATTACCTGAGCCAGGTGCCTTCCACAGAGGCTCTGCCTGCCACACGGCTGCATGTTCCAAGTCTCTGGAACCTGGCACAGAGCAGCCAAAGGGCCCAGGCCACCATGTAAACATCCAGCCTTGCTGGGGGCACTATCCACCCACCTGCCCTGCTGTCCCAGCCCAGGACCCCGGGCCCCAGCAGGATTTGGACAAGATGAAACACAAGAATGGACAAGGCAGGAGGATGGTCGATTTGAGGCTGGGTGGACATTGTCCTGTCTTCAGCCATCACCATCAAGGGCTAGTTGGCAACAGAGGCCCCTCAAAGATGCCCAGACTATTCCTTGAAACACCCAAAGTGGGCAGGCCACAGGACCACAGTCCCAAGCCATTTCAAATGCCCCCAACCCTAGAGCAGTGTCATTTTAGCCACAGCAAAAAGCAGGGACCCTCAGCCCCACCCTACCCTAAGCCTGTTCAGCTTTGGCTTCAGGAAACCGGCCCCAGGAATGAGTGCTATGCTCCTGGCTCTTGGCTGGGTAATAATCAACTGAGCCTGGAGTAGGGGGAGGGGACCTTGGGGGGTGAAGGCCCAGGCCAGCAGCCGGCTCAACCAACAGGGAAAGTCATCAGATCCCACACCCCTCGTCCCTGCACACACATACTCTCTCTCTCTCTCTCTCCCCCC